ACCACCGCACCACAAAGTATGAGCAGAAGCCGCGCCCAAAGCCAGGGCCCCGGTAACGTGAGGTAGCCGAGTCGGGGCAGCGTGCGCTGACCCAAGCCGGGGCCGCGGCTTTGGGCGCGGTCTACCGCATCCCCGCGGGCAGCCCCGGGCTATCACATGACACCGGGAGGACGCGCGGCCCCGGCTTTGGTCAGAGCACGCTGCCCCGACTCGGCTACCTCACGTTACCGGGGCCCTGGCTTTGGGCGCGGTCTACCGCACCACCTAACAGGCGTGTTCGAAACCGCAGGAGATGATGATGAACGGGTTTATCGAAACTTGATTGGATGAGCCTATCGCTAATAGCGATTTTGGTGTGTGCATTTATTGTTCATAGTGGTGTGAAATGTGGTTGGGGTACGACCGACAACCCGTCGGGGCGAATTTCGCACTGGGGTACTCAAAATTTGAAGAATTTAAGACGTTTTCATGAGTTTTGAAGGTATGGATAAGTTCTAAAAATCCGGTTCTACTTATCTGGGCCATTAACTCCATACGGTCCAGGAAAGCTGGCACACTACCTTTAACCCTCGCCCGCACATGGGGGGGGGTGGTTGCCACCCCCCCCCCCCCCAGGCAGTCTTTCTGCTCTGCACTCAACATTTTTAGAGCTAGAAGGCTGATTTTTCGTATAGCTGCTTGTCTATCCTCTATTGATGTTCACTGAAAATGTCAAGTTTCTGTGATTTTTGGTTTCGGAGATATGACCTTGTTTTTCAGGTCATGTCATGACCCAAATGGCCAATGCTCAACATCTTGCGTTTGCCATGGGCCTTGTGAGCTTTTGACACCCTGATTTCGGCCTTTTTTGCCAGTCTTACCTCCCACCTATCATGGAACATGTTGTTCGACGATGTACAGGGGTCAAGGTCAGGGTCAAGGTCAACCTAGGTCATCTAAGATAATTGCGTTTTAGGCAAGCTGAATTTACTTTTTGTGAAGTTTTTTTGACTGCATTTTTGGTAAAAGCTTCTCAGATCATGATTTCATGTGATATGGACCCAAAAACAATCGGTGCACACATCAGTATACACACAGACACACACAGACATACAAACACATATAATTGACCTTGACCTAACTTGACCTGAAATGACCTCAGCAGCAAAATTCTGGTCGGATAGTGTGACAAAGAGGTTCTAGCTGGCTTGGCACCAGAAAACAGCATCGTCATCGGTATTTGATAAGCAGCGCACTTGATATCCAACGGTGACCCAAAACAGCAACATTTTTTAGTTTGACCTGACCTGGAAGGTCAATGACTGACCTGAGAAGGTAAAACTGGGTATCATTGGATTCGTCTCTTCCCAAAGAATCTTTTTGGTCTTTACTGCTAAGCTCTATCTCCAACAGGAACGAAATGGCGCGGGGGGGGTGGCAACCACCCCCCCCCCCCATGTGCGTTCTAGGATGGGAAAATGGCATGTGCGGGCGAGGGTTAAGGTACTGTGCGACCATTTCGAGCCACAACAGTCCGAGATTGTGGCGAGATTTCGGTTCCATTCGAGCCTGCGTGAAACCGGCGATCTGTGACGTCCTTTCTGGCAAGATTGCGCAAACTGGCCAAGCCATGCCGTTTTGAAGCTAGCACTTTGGACGTGATGCTTCGAGAACGCTTCGTTTGCCGTATTCAGCACGAACGGCTGCAGTCACGGCTCCTCAGTGAGCCACAGCTGACTCTGAGTAAGGCTGTGGAGATTGCCCAGGCCCACGAGTCAGCGGCGGCCAGTGCCGCTGAGCTCAGCGGTCGGGCAGAGGCCAGCGACATCAGGCGCGTGGAAGGCGGTGGCAGGAGAGGGCAGCAGGAGCGGGACCACGAACTACATCGACCACGATCGACGGCCCGCAGGAGCGGAGAGCCGGCGGCGGCGCGGGGGGCCGCCGGCGGCCAGCAGCCGTGCCGGGGAGGGCGGCGGCCGCCAGCGGCCTCAGCGAGACGCTCGCAGAGGTGCTTCTCGTGTGGCGCTCTCGGTCACGTGCGGGCGACCTGTCACGCGTGGACGGAAGCTCGCATCGGACAGGTGACTGAGGAGGGGGACCTGCTCCAGCCGGAGGCGGCCGCCACGGCTGGTGGGGCCAAGGCTGCTGTGAGGACGGCCGATCCTGGGCGCAGCACGGCGGCGCCTCCTAACCCTCCTGACTACGGTGAGAACGATCCATATTTTTTGTTCCGGTCGTCTGTAAGCAATGTGGGTGATCAGAAGCCACCGCTGTTGGTCACTGTGTCTCTTGATGGTCAGTCCGTGAACATGGAGATAGACACCGGGGCTGCTCTATCAGTGTGCTCAGATCAGGAGTTTCACAGCGTGTGGCCGGGGGGTGGGCCTGTCCTGAAACCCTGTGATAAGGTGCTTAAAACCTACAGTGGTGATGTACTGGAGGTGTGTGGTGAGGTGTTCGTGGACGTGTATTACGGGGAAAAGCGTGCGCTCCTACCACTGGTTGTAGTCAAGGGCGATGGGCCATTCTTGCTCGGGCGTAATTGGCTGTTGCAGTTAAAGCTAGACTGGCCATCCATCTGTCGGGTGAGCTCCGCGCACGGAGAAAACCGCATCTTGTCTGACTTTCCGGAGGTCTTCAGTGATGGGTTAGGCTGCTACCGGGGTGCTAAAGTGAGCATCACCGTGGACCCAGATGTTAACACGCGCACCGACGGGGGTCTGCGCCAACTTAGTACCGACGGGGGGGGGACGGATGACCGCCCCCCCCCCTGAGATCTCGAGAACGAAGCAAGATAGCGGCAAGCGGTAAACGGCATCGGATACGCACGGACAAGGTCTACAATTTTTACAAAGGTCATTTTCAGGTCAGGTCAAAGATGACGTCACAGGGGTCGAAAAAGTCAAAATGGCGGCGCTAGATATGGAGTTTTTCTCGAATAATTTTTGAATTAGTCAAGATAGGAACAAACTAAGGGCATCATCGTGATCCTTTCGTCAATCCGCATCGAAAGATATATAGGTTGACCTCGAAAGGTCAAGGTCAAAGGTTGACCTCAGGTCACGTGACCTCGAGGTCATCATGTATATCAATCGATGCGTCTTGACGAGCTGAACACAATGAGACCATCCGCGCAGCTGTATCTTGTTCCTGAACGGAATTATTGGTAAAACACCTTTGGTGACCTTTGATGACGTCACATGACCTTACAGCTTCCTAACAGCAAAACAGACCTCAAGGTAGTGAAGGTTGATCGTATATGAAGTCATGTATGGTATATGGGGCCATTCCGACCCGTTTTAGTGGTAAAAACAGGGAGTTGATTTTTCCCCCATTGACTTATAATGGGGAGGTCGCGAAATTGACCTGACCTTAGGTCACCGATATCAAAATTCCGAGATATACAAATTGTAGCTACTAATGACCTTATAACATCCTGCGACTTTCAAAGGCCTCCGACATCTACTGTAGCTCTGGCACGGTGACAAAGTTGCAAAAAAGTGACTTGAGGTTGGGTCATTCAAAGTGACCTGGTGACCTGACCTTAAAAGTTAGGAGGTTCAAACTTGCACAGGATGTGTAAAATTGATGAGCGAATAGTCGTACCAAATTTACGCCCCGCGGTTTTCCGCTATTCGCGAAAAACCTCGGGGGGGCGGATATCGGCCCCCCCCGTCGGTCCGCGTGTTAAGCCGAGGTTCTACAAGGCCCGAAACGTGCCACTGGCCTACCGTGACCAAGTGGAGGCAGACCTGGACCAGCAGATCCAGCAGGGACTCTGGGAGCCAGTCAAACACAGTAAGTGGGCCGCTCCGTTAGCGGTGGTTCCGAAACCCGGCGGAAAGATCCGACTGTGTGGGGATTATAGGCTGACTATCAATAGGGCCGCACACGTAGAGCAGTATCCACTTCCACGGGTGGAAGAGCTTTTGACTAAGCTGGCCGGCTGCACATTATTTTCAAAGATAGATCTTAAGTGTGCATACAATCAGATGGTACTCGATGAAGGCTCACGGGAATATTTGACTGTCAACACATCCAGGGGTCTCCTGAGACAGACCCGACTCAGTTTTGGCTACGCCTCAGCGCCATCTCTGTTCCAAAGGACGATGGACACGCTGCTAGCCGGGATCCCTGGCGTCTGTGTATTTTTGGACGACGTTGTGGTAGCGGGCCCCACAGCAGAGAATCACGGGGAGGCACTGCGCGAGGTTCTACACAGACTGAGTGAGGCAGGGCTTAACCCTCGCCCGCACATGCCATTTTCCCATCCTAGAACGCACATGGGGGGGGGGTTGCCACCCCCCCCCCCGCGCCATTTCGTTCCTGTTGGAGATAGAGCTTAGCGGTAAAGACCAAAAAGATTCTTTGGGAAGAGACGAATCCAATGATACCCTGTTTTACCTTCTCAGGTCAGTCGTTGACCTTCCAGGTCAGGTCAAACTAAAAAATGTTGCTGTTTTGGGTCACCGTTGGATATCAAGTGCGCTGCTTATCAAATACCGATGACGATGCTGTTTTCTGGTGCCAAGCCAACTAGAACCTCTTTGTCACACTACCCGACCAGAATTTTGCTGCTGAGGTCATTTCAGGTCAAGTTAGGTCAAGGTCAATTATATGTGTTTGTATGTCTGTGTGTGTCTGTGTGTATACTGATGTGTGCACCGATTGTTTTTGGGTCCATATTACATGAAATCATGATCTGAGAAGCTTTTACCAAAAATGCAGTCAAAAAAATTCACAAAAAGTCAATTCAGCTTGCCTAAAACGCAATTATCTTAGATGACCTAGGTTGACCTTGACCCTGACCTTGACCCCTGTACATCGTCGAACAACATGTTCCATGATAGGTGGGAGGTAAGACTGGCAAAAAAGGCCGAAATCAGGGTGTCAAAAGCTCACAAGGCCCATGGCAAACGCAAGATGTTGAGAATTGGCCATTTGGGTCATGACATGACCTGAAAAACAAGATCATATCTCCGAAACCAAAAATCACAGAAACTTGAAATTTTCAGCCCAGCCAGCAATTCGGTTGGGGAAAGTGCGGGGACAGTGTTGGGGAAAGCTTGGGGAGAACGTACAATGCCCCTATCGGATCGGGGGACGGTCCGTGTTCCCCATCCCTTCCCCGACTGTATCGGTAATATGTTCAAAAGACATGGGGAAATCATACCGATCCCCGTGCGGGGAAAGAGCAGCATTCCCCAATCAAACCCCACTGTTGGGGTTCGGTCGGGTAAAAGATCAGATTCCCCGTACGGGGAAGGGTGCGTTATCCCCGACCCATTTTCTAGAACAGTTTGATTGGGGAAAAGTAGGGGAACTGTTGAAATTCCCCGCTCGGGATTTTACACTTAATCCCCAGACGAATCCCAACCGCCAGTAGGAGCAGTGTCGCCTCAACACAGCGAGGGGAGGGGAGGAAGGGGTAGCAACGACCGGCCGCCGTCGGTTCCGTCCGCACATCTGGTTGAGGGGCGTCTCCTGTCGCCATCTGTCATCGTGAATGGGGCCGTGGCGACGTGTCAGACGGGACGAACGGGGGAAGTCGGTCCAGAGTCACTGCGCCGCGCGGTTGTGGGAGCAAGCCGTGGGCTAGGTACCGCTCCAGGTCAGATCATGGTTGGAACTGAAGAGTGCGGCGACACTACAGAGCTGTGAACGAAGACGGTGAACGGCGAGATGTGGTGACCGCTTGTCTGACCAGTGCCCAAAGTCGTGATCTACCGCTGGGGTCAGTGCGTGAGAAGCTGGACTCGGCACCAAAGGAGGACGCAGCTCGACGAGGAAGCTATGCTGTGTTGGTAATGAACTAAAGCACTTAATTGTAACGAATCCATGACAGATATAAAATGACTATACTAACTCAAGTTTACTGTAAAAGACAAAGCTTTCGATACACACAATATCTTGATCACTGTCTAGGATATGCAGAATATGACGTAAAAATGACTGAGGTCATCAACCTCCGTCTGAGATTATCCTTAAATTGCCCGGACAATATAATGTCATCAGCCTAATGCTTCATCTGCTTCTGTTCTAGAGGGACGTCTGCCGGTTACGACCGGAAGGTTTCCGACGGGACTGGCAGAACCCACAACGGCAGTATGAACCCGGCGTGGAGTTAATGCGTAATTGCTCGCATGAGCAACCGAAGAGCGACTTCCAGGCGAAGCTGGTAAGCAGTTACCAGCTTAGGGGTGGGGGTTAGCTTAGAGCTGTTGAACAACCTGTCCTTCACCCAAGTCTTAAAGGGACCCTCCCACCAGGGCTGCGGAGTCGATGGATTTTCAGCGACTCCGACTCCGACTCCGACTCCGGCTGTCAAAAACCAGCTCCGACTCCGACTCCGACTCCGGGCAGAATTGTCGACTCCGACCGACTCCAACTCCCGACTCCGACTCCGCAGACCTAGCAGGGCTGCGGAGTCGACAGATTTTCGGTGACTCCGACTCCGACTCCGGCTCGGGTTTCTAAAATCGACTCCGACTCCGACTCCGACTCCGGTCACAACTGTCGACTCCGACCGACTCCGACTCCGACTCCGACTCCGACTCCGCAGCCCTGCCTCCCACCTTCAAAAAAGTTAATGAATTGGCATGAAAGTGATGTCGCTCGGTTCAGAAAGAGCAAAAACGAATATCTACCAAATTTCATCGAAAAATATTCACCGGTTTTCAAGATATTAGACTTTTACTTTTGTTTACTTTTTGGGATCTCCGCTGTTCCTAGCGACTTTATTTGAAAGTGCGGCATTTGTTGCGCGCAAAGCAGCATATACCACCGCGTGCTACAAAACGTTTTAGTCAAACATTTGACGGACGTTCGAAAGCCTGATGACGTCATCAGATTCCCGTAATGGTTAAGAGATAGGGACCACGCTGGTCCCACCCTGCAAGTAAAGGGAAGAAATTTCTTGAACACCATAAAGCTGCGGGGGTTGCGACCAGGATAAATGGTGGTTTCTGAGCCTGGCCGCAAACATGGCTATCTCAACTCAAAACTAATGTTAAGGTGGGAGGGTCCCTTTAAAGGGACCCTCCCACCTTAACATTAGTTTTGAGTTGAGATAGCCAAATTGGTGGCCATGACCTGCAAATACCGGTTTGGACACTCACAACATCGAAAAATGCTTTAATTCGAAGATATGGAATTTCAAACTTGCAGTTTTCGGATTCTAAGGGGCTAATGCATTGGAATGCCCCCTTAGAATTTGTGACGTCAGCGGAGATCTAACGATTTTTAAATCTTAGACTAAAACCATCGTTAACACGTGGTGGTATACGCTGCTTTGCGCGCAACGTCTGCCGCACTTTAGGGCTGCCAAATTATTGCTTCCAAATAAAGTCGCTAGTAACAGGGGAGATCCCAAAAAGTAAACAAAAGTAAAAGCCTAATATCTTGAAAACCAGTGAATATTTTTTCGGCGAAATTTGGTAGATATTCGTTTTCGCTCTTTCTGAACCAAGGGACATCACTTTCATGCCAATTCATTAACTTTTTTGAAGGTGGGAGCCGGGAGGGTCCCTTTAAGGCTGAGACACACTCTTTCTACAGCCAAAAAATCTCATGCGAGAGCCCATTAATTAAATACATGAAATCACGATCGCATCAACCGCTTACAGGGATGTGCGAACGATTGACGCGATTGTAATAAATGACATGCATTTTGAATAGGCTTTCGCACTCCATTTTCTGCCTTCGGAAAGAGCCTGTTTCAGCAGCTCTACTACACAGCTCTGCTTGTGAAAGGGGCTTCATTGTTATCTTGATAAACTAGCCACCGATTTTAACTGTCAAACGGCGTTCATTTATCTGTCAAGTGCTTTCGCGAAGAACTTCGTAAGGCGTAATATAGACGTAAAACATTTATTACCTAATGACTTTTCCTGGAATGAGAAATGTTTAGAAGAAAAATGTAATTATTGAATTTTTATTTCCCGTTTTAATTAACTATTCAAAGTATATCACATTCATTTTTTAAGCACTTTTCGTGGGGAAAAGTTATAAATAAGTGTAACTTCATAAAATGGCATTCAACATGTTTCAGCGTAAGCTGAAGTTTCTATATAAGGACATTCCATGTAGTAGCTAGCTGTAAAACCTGATTGACATACCTACAAGTGCACATATTTTTGTTTTTGTCCACAGCCGCAGAATTCCTGGAGATGCGCTGGGACATGGATCATAGCAAGGTGGCTCTCAGCGGCAGCTGACCGCTGAGATGTGTCTGAAACAGCCAGAAAAAGACTCGAGTTGTGGTTCCAGTGCACTACCGAACAGAAGGCGGGACCAGCTGAAGGGAGACTACAGCAAAGCTGTCGTTCTCAATCTGCTGAACAGACTCCTGCTGCAGAGGAAAATTGGGGTTCGACGTGTTAGAACTGGGGTTAGACCGGTTACCAGTGCTCGTGTTCGTCACCTGTTGTTTGTCACTGCTGTGCTGCTGCTGTATGTCATGTTTGCCACCTGCTAAGCGTTCACAATGTTTTTTTGAGTGAATAATAACTTTTTTAGTGTTTTTTAGTATATATATATATATATATATATATATATATATATATATATATATATATATATATATATATATATTGATTGGGAGACTATTGTGTATTGTGTATTGATCTATTTTTTTATAGTCGTTGAAGCATCCTGAAAGTCTGGAAATAAACAGGCATGGCCAAATGGATTGGTTCTAATTATTTTCCCGTGTGGTCTTATCGTTTCCCTATTGCGGGAAAACAAGTGGACAACTTTGTTTGTATGTAAACCAGTATGTGTATACAAATATTTGTATGTTTACAGACAAAATAAATAGTCATTGTCAATTTAAATGGGACCCGATCTGTTTCCAGTGCGTTTTTTTACTGGCTTCTCCGTACGGGGAAAAAAGCAGACAAGGCAGTGGGGCCATTGCCAAGTCGGGGAACGGCCGGGGTTCGCGCGGGGAAAGGTCTGGGAACGTTAGGGGAAAATCACGGTTTCCCCGATCGGGGAAGGTCTCCAGTAAGCATAAACCCGTACAGCCGGGTAGGGGAATGTGCGGGGCTCGCACAGGATCTTCTTGGGGAAAATGTTCGATAGCCCCGTACGGGGAACCGACCTTAACAACGGGTTTTAACCATAGTCGGCGCGGGGGTAGCTTGGGGGACGTTTGGGGAACGCTTGGGCAGTTATACCGTTTCCCCGTACGAATCCCGCACAAAGTTCCCCGTACAAAGTGTCTCAAATCCCAAGCGAACGCTCCGTTTTCCCCAGGAGAACGGTTGGGGTTTCCCCGAGCCCGCCCCAAGCTAGCCATAGGCCTTCCCCGTACGGGGAAAGCTCCGATTTGCTGGCTGGGAGTGGACATCAAAAAAGGATAGAGGAGCAGCTATACAAAAAATCAGCCTTCTAGCTCTAAAAATGTTGAGTGCAGAGCAGAAAGACTACCTGGGGGGGGGGGGGTGGCAACCACCCCCCCCCATGTGCGGGCGAGGGTTAAGGCGAACCGGGAAAAGTGTTGATTTGGCATGAAAAGTGTGACCTACTTGGGGCACAAAGTAAGCGGCAATGGGGTGGAAACAACCGATGACAAGGTCACGGCCATCACCAGTGCTCCCGAGCCGAGAGACGTCGCCTCTCTCCGCAGCTGGCTAGGCCTGGTAAACTACTATGGCAAGTTTTTGCAGGGCCTTGCATCAAAGCTCTCGCCCTTGTATGCACTTCTCAGAACCAACCGGCCATGGCGGTGGACAGAGGTTGAGCAGAGGTCTTTTGACGAGGCAAAAGGTCTGTTAAAAAATCCACCGGTGCTGGCCCATTTCGATCCAGCTCGACCGGTGATCCTGGCCTGCGACGCGAGTCCGGTGGGATTGGGCTGTGTACTCAGCCAACGGACGCCACAGGGAGAGCGCCCAGTCGCCCAGTCGCATTGCTGAACACCTGATAGGATAGAACGTGGTAACTTCAGTGCCGTGCCTCCAGCGGTCTAACGGACCTCTCATGTAAGATTTAGCCAACTACCATGTTTAATCTTAAATCTAGAGTATGGGGCTTATTGCCCCAGGCCGTGGGGCGTTTTACTCTGGGCTTGGTGCCTGGGGCCGACCCAAATTTCAACTTTCTATCTTTATTTTTGACCTCCAAATTGTAAAAAATAACTCCAACATGTATAGGGCATGGTGACGTCATACGCATTTTCATGAGTTTGAGGCACTTCTGAACATCGCATGTGAAAACAAATGGCAGCATTAGATTCCTGGGACACAGTCGTCTAGAAAAGTGCATTTTTATGTCAAAAATAAGAAATTGAAAAATCGATTTTTTTTCTCGGTGATGTATAATATAAACGATGTTTTATGCTTGCTGATGACCAGGAGAGTGACTTTGGGTTACATATAACCATGACCATCGGATTCGGCGTGAAAAATAAGCCATAAAACATGTGTCGCATGCCCATGTGGCAGAAAGTGAAAATCTTGACCTTTCGTGACCTGACCTGACCTTGATCCGTGCTTACATAGTATGACCCCTATACGCACACAGTATCTTCAATAGGCCTTTGAGGTCATTTTTGGTGAGTTTCGAGCAGGAACTATCGATTCCGCTGTCCGTAAGCCTCATCATGCAAAACCCCAGAATTTGATCTTTGACCTGCCATTGACCCGAAAGTTGACCTCAATCTTAAAATGTTAAGAGTGGTTTGGAAAGGTCTCGTGGAGACCTTTCGAACGCCGCCTCGCGGGGCTCAATACGACCATTGGTTCTCGAGATAACAGGGGGGTCGGATCCGACCCCCCCAGGCTGTCGTGGGTACGGAAATAGCCCAGGCGGTGCCGGGTTAAGCGATGACCCTTTGGTTCAAAATCAGCTGTTAAGCTTATCAAGGCCTCAGGGAAGGTTGCAGGAACGCAAGGACCTTCTCAGCAACGCGATATTTGGGAGTAACTATATTCTAAGTTACATCGGATAGACGGAAGGCACCAAAACTTTTGACGCACAATATAAAGGAATGTTGGAGCTGGTGAACGGGGGCTGGTCGGGATGGCCGTGCCTTGGCGGTACGACCCGGGGCAGCGCCTACCTGCTGCTTCCAGAAGGTGACGATCTCCGACAGGCCCTTCTCCTTGAAGAACTCAGTAAAGTATGCTTCAGTTTGCTTGTTTGCCGGCAGGAACTCCATCAGACTAAGACAGTGGGCAAAAAAAAAACCGCTGTCACCACTAGACGACCAGTGAAAACACACCATATCACACCAACCGTCACCATTAGTCGACCAATGAAAACACACCAGAGGCCTTTTGCACCAAAATACCTAGCTAGGTAGAATCGGCAAAATACCTACCTAGTAAAACTACCTACGGCGGTAACTTCTCTTGCACCATCCAACCTACCTACCTAGGTAAATTTGACAGCTCGCGTTTTTAGGATTTGTTTTGATTGGCTGTTTGGCGACGAATTATTTGTGGGCGCAAACAAAAAGTAACTAAGGAAAACAATTAAATGGATATTGTTTTTATTAATATACATTTTGGTATTATGAAATCATTTTTCATTTACGTAAATACCGATAGAAGTTATTTTGATATTAAATTACTTGAACAAATAAGCTTCGTTTCCATGGCAACCAGTGAGTCTTCAACCTGGCTGTTCTACTACGGAGGTTTATCGCCTTGGTACGGAGAAGCACCTCTGTGAACCCATGGAGCATTTGGTCAATTATATTATTATTCACTCATAAAACATTGATTTATCATTGTCTAAACATTTTGTAATGCCTAATTTACATAAAAGTACCCGTGGATTATCATGTATTGTGCCTATCGTTACTACTTGAATCATTTTACCTAAGGTTTTGCTAGTGATTTTGGAAGCCTGCGTTTACCGTCAAACCGTCAAAAACTCCTCCGCGAGTACTTCTTTCCGGCTTTCGGTGCAAGAGGAAAACAGCCGGTCGGACTTTAACAATTGGTAAGTTCTTATGCCGCTCGGTAGAATTTCTAGGTAAATTTTCACGGTAGCGTTTTTTTGGTAGGTAGTTTGGTGCAAGAGAATCTAGGTAAAATCTGAATTTACCTAGGAATGTAGTTTGGTGCAAGAGGCCTCAGCTTAACCCTCGCCCGCACATGGGGGGGGGGGGGGGGGGTGCCACCCCCCAGGCAGTCTTTCTGCTCTGCACTCAACATTTTTAGAGCTAGAAGCCTGATTTTTCGTATAGCTGCTCCTCTATTCTTTCTTGATGTCCACTGAAAATTTCAAGCTTCTGTGGTTTTTGGTTTCGGAGATATGACCTTGTTTTTCAGGTCATATCATGACCCAAATGACCAATTTTTAACATCTTGCGTTGGCTATGGGCCTTGTGAGCTTTTGACACCTTGATTTCGGCCTTTTTGGCCAGTCTTACCTCTCACCTACCATGGAACATGTTGTTCGACGATGCACAGGTGTCAAGGTCAGGGTCAAGGTCAACCTACAGGGTGTCCCGAAATTGATGCGCGGCTGTTTTATCCTCAATAACTTATGAAGTGCTTGAATTTATTTCACGGCTTATATGTTATCAAGTCCCCATTCAGTTGCATACGCGGTCTATTGCACTCTAGCGTGTCACGTTCCAGGTTGTCAAGAGTCTCTCCTTTGAAAGTACGCCATGTCGTTTATGTCTTCTTAAACAGCTTCTTCTCTGAGCTAGCCCGTGGGAGCTTGCTGAGCTCTTTTCTGACGATTGTCCAGATAATTTGGATCGGGGACAGGTCCAGACTGTTGCCAGACCATGTCCCCGTCTCCCAGAGGCCTGGGAGCCTCGCTCGGCACCAGTCCTGGGTCTTTCTGGCGTGATAAGCTGGATCACTTTCTTGCTGGAAAATGGCTCTGGACATGTCCGACAAAAGTTTGACTCTGGTTTTTGAACCATTTACCTTTTCCCCAGCATCTTTATGGCAGCATTCTTCTTCAGCACCTCGCTGACATAGTAATCAGCAGTCACGGTCTGTCCCCAAGGCACCTCGTGAAGCTCAGAGAGCCTCTGTAGCTCATCATGCTCCAAAAGATATTCTTCAGAAGACGTTTCACCGTCTCGACACTCGACAGCGGACTCCTCAGAGCTGCCGTTGGCCTACATTTCGATCGTTCTGTCAGTTAGGGGCTTAGAGACCACAAAAGGCACCTCATCACTAAAAAGGACGCATCTCCAGTTCTTAATGGTCCAGTTTTTGTGGGTCTTGGCGGAATCCAGCTGCCTGCACTTCTGGACCACGGTAAGCCAGGTCGGCATCCTGAATCTGAGCGGCTTCAGCTTCAAGATAGTCTTCAAATACTGGTGGAGGGTCGATTTGGATGCTGGGACATGCATCTCATTCAGTTTTCTTGTCAGCGATGTTGAATGGTGCTTTTTAAAGGTCGGCTTTGCAATCACGATTTTCGCCACTCGGCTCAAGGCAGTCTTCCGCCCTCGAACTGTGCTGTTCTTGAGTGTCTCTCCTGATCGTTTGCGGTCCATTCAAAGTTTAATTGTCGCAGAGTTGACGCCCA